GAAATATTTTGGTTGTTGAGGCTTTCTCTTACCATAATTACTTTCTGAGAAAAGCAGTTCAGTGGTCAAATTTTCCCGAATATTTTTACATTAAATTGGGCACACAGAACTTGGCCCTGGCTATCTTGAGGCTGTAAAGCAGACTTCTGGCTGACTGGTTTCCATCACTTGTTTTCCATAGCCATCTCCTTGCCATTTAAACAAGGGATTCCACGTGAGAACCAGACTGTCTTGCATCCTAGAGAATACATTACAGCCATCCACTTTATTAAAATAAATAACTGATTTTACTCTTCTAAGAATTTCAAGAACACTTGCACATAAAAACGAAGGTCTTGGGAAGTCAATTTTTATAAGAAATGAATTAATTTGATTATTTGCATGCTGTGGACCAATAATAGTGAGCTTCCGCTGGGCCCCTGGCCTGAAGGCAGCTGGGTAATCAATGGGACCCCACAAAGGCAGCCCTCCACCCCCAGCAGTCTCTCTGATCTTTTCTGGGTGGACTCTTCACGCCTGTGTAATTCTAATTTATGTCAACTAGAAATCAAAGAAATTCCAGGAGGCTTTGGTCACAGGACATTGGCATGGACCTTTCACAATCTAGTTATGTATATTCCTTGAGTTAGACACAGGGCTGGCAGAGCCTTCCAGACACCTCTACTGCCCAAGGAGGAGGAGGCGACAGAAGGCAGCTACCTGTTTGCTGCCGGGAGGGGAGGGGACAAGGCTGAGGGGCCTCACGTATAAACTGGGGTACATTTTCTCCTGGTTTATAACTCTGCAGGAACAGAAGAACTAAGCATTTTAAGCAGAAGCTTTGCCAAGAGTGGCTCCCTCAATAACGCTCTTTAATGATACCCCAGACGCTGGCATTTTCAAATCAAATGAACAGTGTGTAAAATTAGTTCTGCATGAAGTTTAAAAAAAAAAAAAGAAAGTGAAAGGGAGCTTTTAAAAGCTCCAGCATCGCTACATCCAACTGCTTTCCACAGGGTTGGCATTTGAGAATTGCCACGTTTATGATGTTATTCACTGCTCATAATTCAGGCCTGTGTCTCCAAACTTTGGTATTAGCACACACTGCAGAGGTTTCCCAAACCAGCCAAGCTGCCTCTGGCAAGGTCTCCTTCTCCAGCCAATGCCATGGAGCACCCCTCTTCTCATCAACCTTGTTACCCCAAACCTTTTTTATTAACCTTCAACACTGCATTTCCATTTCCCCTACAGCTTTTCCAGGCATTTGTCCCTCTTTCAGTTTTGTTCTCTGTCCAAATGAGGAAAATATCATTAGAAACAGACTCATAGTCTAGAAGTCACTAAAGTCGTGAAAATAATTTCTATGACCAAAGTCACTACTGACTGTTTATAGTTGTGGAAGCCCCAGTAAACACATGGCCCTTTATTACAGTCCCATCGATCACCTAAGTATCATTAACTAAATCACTAAATAAACGTGAGTCAAACTGATAGGTGATTTCAGGTCAGTTGTAATTCCCAAGGTCAAGCAAGCCTTTGAACAGTCTCTAAGAATCTGAACTCACCCCAATTCATCAAAGTGGTCTCACACTGCGTTCTCTTCTCTTGGTTTTTACAATGCATTAAAGTTTAGGAGATTATGTGGCGTCAGCTTCAAAACCTTTTAACATGCTTATCCATCCAACCATCAGAAAGGCTGCTCTAACAGAGACTTCTTAATGCACCTCCTAACTTTACAACGATGTGGGGGAAGGTTACAGTTGGCGGGCGGAAGGCTGGAGGACTCCTCCCTAGGACTCAGCAAGGCTTCAGCCAAACAAATTTACTGCAGATTTACTTAGACATTGATAATCCAAGTACATGCTTTCTCAGCTGCAAAGAATATGTTTAATGTTTCTCATCTGGGGGCAGCAGGGAGGACAGACACAGAGATACTGAGCTTTTTCCACAACAAATAAACGCTACTTTTGATTATTCTTGTAAGTTTTAGAAGCTAAAGTGAGAGACAACCTACCAGTTTGGTAAAATACAGCCTCCAAATTAAATATAAGCAGCCCCAAATGAAACTTCAATGTGAAAGATAACACGATTGGAGTCTACCAACCCTTTCTTTCCCTCAAACAGTCTAACTATGCAGCCCTGGATGACATGGAACTTAGGTTCTCCACTTCTGCTTCTGTCTCCCCAGTTCTGGGATTAAAGGAAATCACCCCCACACCCAGCTGACTTCACAGAGTCTAAGGTCCACAGAACCCCAGAACATGACATACAAACTCACAGACATGTCTCTCCCTAGCTTGGGGATTCTTGACTAGATGGCTAACTGTATAGATGATAAAGCCTCTGGCCCTTGGCTGGCTCCAGATGGTGTGGAATCTCTAACTAACAAACTTGGTTAGTGGCTGTCAGGTCTGGCTGGGCTGCAGGGACAGGGTGATAAGCAGGCATCAGTCTGGCTTGGTCACCATGCTATTGAAGTATGGTGACCAAGTCTGGGACACACTCGGCTCTTCTCTGTGCCTTGGTCCTGGTTTTCTTGTTTCTGTGTTCTATTCCTGACTGCAGTCATTTCTTCTTGCTAGTTTCTCTTTCTCCCCCTGTATCAGCAACCTTATATTTATACTTTCCTCATGTCTGTGAATGAGCAGATGGGTCAGTAACTTTACTCAGATGTACTATGTTCCACGGGGACATTTGTTATTATTTGTAATGTGTATAAAAGTGTGATTATTGATATCTTTCTATAGAATATTAAGTTTAGATGAAACAAAACTATAAAAGTTCTTCTGTAGTCTGAGACTACTTTTTTTCCTTGAATTGAAAATTTTGCTTCCAAAATATGGTGTGTATGTGTGTGTGTGTGTACTGTATTTGGAAATTCAAATATTACAGTATAATATAAATTCCTACAATGCTGAAAAGAATAACAATTCATGATATTATATATATGTATATATGTGTGTGCATATGTGTATATATATGATGGTTGACACTATCCTAAGCACTTTGTTTACATTAAGTCATTTAAAAGCTCACAATTCTCTAAGATGGGCACTAGAAAATCCTCATTTCACAAACACGCCAAGAAGCTTTGTTCAGGACTCCATAACTATTAAGTCTGTAAACCCAGATGTGAACTCAAACTCTGTCCCCAGAGGACATGTCCCTGTTACAAGCTTCTTTTCTTCTCTGTGCAAATCCTTCTCCATGTCTTGATTAGAATTTAAAGATGGATGGCATAAATCAAACATGAAATCTGAACAGTTACTTTGGTTTGGATTTTCCATCCAACTTTCTGTTCAAGGCTTTGCTTGCACTTTGTGTGTGGCTTGGCAAGGTCTTATGTTCTCATGGAAGCCCCCATGTTTGGCTCTGAGCTGATTGGACTCTTGGGAAGCCAGACAGCAAGGGTGAGCTCCTTGGGCTGAGCTGAGCTGCACACGGCACTGTGTCAGAGGCAAAAGACTCTCAGGGCAGTTCTCTGGTTTGAGAAAGGATTCAGAAACTGAACATGGTGTAGGCTACAAAACTTAGAGATATCAACAGACTCTTTATTTCATTTTGTAGTAATTCGTGCCTTTTTTTTTTTAAAGTCCAAAATTCTTTAACTTAAAACTCAGCAAAATGCTGATGAGCAGCAAACACTGTGTGGACTGGTCTTCTAAACTAACCAACGAGAGCATAAATGGTTGTATCTGTATCTGAGGTGACACTGATCTTCAGTGTGAAAAGTATAGAGAGGGTGGGCTAGAGATAGTAAGTCATCATTCCTTCACTTAGAGTTCTTGGTGGAGATGGCACATGCAGCCTGGCTTTCTGGCGGACTCTGAGGAGCTTGTCTGTTACTGTTTTGTGTTTCTAGAATACTCTGCCTATTGCTGACCTGTTAATTTTAAAGTTGACAAGGTTAGCAACAGCACTCTCTTAGCCAGCGATGAGTGCTGAGGGAAACTTGCTCCCCTGGGTCTGTCTCCATGCTGTTGCTAAGATACAAGCAAGCAGCTTTCTGCACCAGGCTGAAAAGATACAATACAGTTTCTAGAACATAACTGGCAAAGGTCTAGAACAGATGAGCTTTTAAAACATTGGAAATAACAATTAGGTCTATCGTCAACACTGACAAAGCACAGGAGGGCTTGGGGCCACTGGTATTTTGCCCCAGATCTGCCAACATTTAGAAAATGCATGCCCTTTGAGCAACATGGTTTTCTAGTATCAATTCTTGTGATAGATTTGTCCCAAACTGTCTCTGCAGAGGTGGCACAGACAGGTAAACTGAATGAGACTAGAGTATTTTTTTTAGCGCACACCTTGAGATACACCCTGGCTAAGGGCAGCCTGGGCAGTGTGCCAGAAACGTTAGACTCAGAGTCCAGAGGCTTTGGGTAAGCAGCTGTCTGCAGGTGTCTGAGAGTTCTCAACCTTCACTGTCTCACTTTTCCAATGCAAATAAAGAACTCATCCTTTGATTTGTTCAACCTTCCCTCCATACCAATTCTACATACATGGTCCATCCCAGCCAGCTGCTCCACGGACCAGTGTTTCACACATGATAGGAGAGACAGTCTGATGTGCAGAGAGACACACACTGCTTCTTTTTGCCTCCAATGGCCAGAATAGATGAAGGTGGAGAACCGAAATGAGCATGTGTGAAAAGCCAAACTGACACTTCACTCTCGAAGGAAATTTAAAATCTAGAGCTCTCTTGTCAGACCCTACACATACCAGTTTGCAAGCAGTCTTTTAAACTTTCTGCTCTCTGGACCTAGGAACAAGAAGCTACGTTCTACCATGATACTGTGTCACTGTCTTTTTGCTCTTAAGTACAAACATCCACTATTAACCAGAAATACAAAAATAATTTAGGAAACCAGGGGGGAAATGTGTGGCTACCGGTGTGGGTGTGCATGGGTGTTTATGGCTAACAGTTTGCACAGGTGTGCATGCTGTTTAGACGAGAATGTGGTGTTGAGCTATTTGCTACAGCAACTAAATGCAGAAAACAAACAGGTCCGTCTTACTTTGTCACATCTCATCAGGCCCAAGTATCTCAGGGACTTGCTGCTCTGTGCAATCAGGGTGGCTCCTTGATCTGTGATTTCTTTACACCATCCCACGTCCACAGTCTCTATGGTCACGCTGTATTGCCCAATGGCTATCAGTGCTGCAGGAGGAATGGAGAGAGAGCGTTGGTGTTAGCAGGGTAAGGGACCTCTAGCTGATCACTGAGCTCATTTCCTGATGAAACTGGTTCCTGAAATGCTGTGTGCAAATGAATGTTTCATAAACTAAATTGGAAATGCTTTAAGAAGGCTTGCCCTATGACAAACCCTTGTGTGAAGTGAATAATCATTTCATAATTTCCCAATCATTGGACACAGACTCTCATCAGTTTATTCACGTCAAGGCTACATATACTTTCAAGCATTCATATCTGCAGGAGGAATAGATACAAGTGAATTATAGATGGCACACTGTAAAAGCCCAAGTGCTAGCTACATGTTATTCAAGGTAACTCTAATAATTCTTAAAAGAAAAAAATGCCACATAAACACCATTTTGAGGTGTGTTATAGTGCATGCAAATTTCTTTATGCATCAGTATAATTTTTTCCATCTGTACGTGACCTGTTAAAATGTAAGAGCATATAATATCTTTCCTATTAGTTCTTCTTGGGGCTGCTGGGAATATAGAGTACATTATACATATAGTTGAGCTTAATTGATACCAGGCCAAAGAGCAGTAATGGGGATGTATTGGTTATGGTAATTTCCTTGCCATATCAGAAATCTTCCTTCTACTAATATATAAAATGAGCTTGCCATCTGAAAACCACATTACCTCTAGTGTTCCTGATTCCTTCTCACTGTGCGAATACTTAAATGCAGCTGCTTAGGCTATCATCTCAGACGTACTTTAGTTATCCCTTCAAAGCTCCAAAACTCTGCAGGCGCCACCAATCAGAAACCAGGGCTGTTCTTTGGGGACTTCTGTGGTTTGATAGGTGAGTGTGGCTGTAATGTTTATGAATGTAAGAAACAGCATTTAATACCTGCAGCCAGAACATTTGCCGAGCACTGGCCTGTGATGAAAACCTTAACAACACTACCACGCACTAGAAAAGAAAGACTGTTTGCCTGTCCCTTGTTCTCACGGCACGGTTTGATTTCTGGAACCATAAAGGTGGGGGGGTATTTTTTTTAAAAACTGTGCTGGCTTCATTTAGAAAGGCAGAATAACTTTCTCATGTATATAAATATAACTCAGGAAACATCACTTGGCAAAATCTCTGATAACCACCTCTGTATTTTTTCTTAAACTACTGTCGTCATATCCATGGGCTCCCATAACAAAGTATTCACAGGAAGCCAGGTATTTAATGTTTGTAAAACAACAATCAGTATCCCTGTTTTCAATGAAAAATGACACAGAGAATTTTTCTTAAGTTCCTCTTAGCACCAGTGTTCATTTAACACCTTCAAATTGGACTGCAAGCATGTGACAGTATTAGGGGATAGACAGTGGATCCCACGTTAATCCCACTGGGGTCTCTGACTTGAGAAGACTGTTTTTCTTTCTGGTATTGGCATTGTTTTCAGGGGTTAAGAATATCCTCAAGACCTTCTGGGATAAAGGAAGCCGGAGGTGCATACAGGAGATCCCTTCCAGTCTGGAATGTTCTTATGCGGGGCTTAGAGATGAAAATGCACAAGTCACACACAGGGAGGCCCGAGGTCAGTAGATTGTGAACAGCTGTGTTACCGAGACCTAAGGCTAACACAAAAGTCCTGGACTACTGGAGAACAGGTAAATAAATGACATGAGACACTTTTCCAGGCCGCCAGCCATATAAGCATGTGAGGAGTCTTTGGAAGCTGCAGAGCTGGATCCGGAGTCTTCCTTTGCTCTCTCTCTCTCTTGTCCACATTACAGTATACAACAAAGGCAATGCCTCTGGGTAAAAGAGCGTGTGGTTTTAGTTCTGGCCTCCCTCTGTCTCCCGAAGCTAGGATTCAGCTTCATTATCCACAACACAGCTCACTTCCTCAGGGAACCTCACGTGTTGAAGCATTTTCCACCAACAGCCAAAGACTGCCTTCCATAAGTCAGGTTCTGGACTACGGCTTTCTGGTTAAGTGTCTGATTTAGCCTTCACAGGTTCCTTAAAGATTGGGAAATCAAGTCACAAAGAGACTGAATAATTTCCACATGGTTGCAAAACAGTAAAGGTGGGAACAGGATTTTAAGATGGGAGTCAGTCGGTACCTGGTCCTGTCTACTAATCTGATATGCACACCAGAACCACAGGGCATGGCGTCACTGCCAGGCAGCATCCCAGCAGTGGAACTGTTGTGTGACATCCTGAGCCTAGGTGCTGGGGATACAGACACTCACAGAGCAGACTGGATGGAAGTGAGGGTGAGGCGAAGGGGAGAGAACAGCTCAGTAAACAGTCACAGGACCATGTTCTTTCTCCACCCAATTCTATTCCCACGTCCTTCCCACTGCCCAGACCTTAATGAGAAACCACGTGTTCAGAAACCACGTGTCACCCAGCCATTTACTTCATCTGAGTATATAGCATTTACTTAATGGCCTATCTCTCTCATTAAGGTAACACTGCTGTACACTGTAGTATGCCTAGTACTCAGTCCATGCCTGGAACAGAGTGTGTTCTTAGACATGCTATAAACACGCAAGAGTCCACGGTTCCCAGCCCACTTTGTGGGAGGATGATAAGCTTTCACAGAAGAACTAAGCCAAGGCCCGAAGGACAATCACAGAGAGCTCTGTGAAGAAACAAAGGTTCGGTGGCAAGTTGGCTGGATGGAGAAGCAGCCTATGAAAAGGTGGAGATGAGAGGGGCTGGGGCGTGCAGGTCATTCTGTGTGGTTCAAGTATGAATAAACTCAAAGACATGTCAAGAGTCACTGCAGAAACATCCTGTGAATGGTGATAGACACTGGGGCAGACCCAGCAGGCAGAGCTGAGTCCTCAGCACCAGGAAGCTACAGTCTAGAAGACACAGCTACAAAACAAACATGGAGGCAAATCTAATTCTGAACTGTGACAAGTATTCTCAAGAAGTAGATGGACAGCTATAGGAAATAATGATGTCTAGGTGCATGTGTACTTGGAGGACGGGCTGGCCTTAGGATATTCTTGTGAAATTCTCCTTAATCCCTCAGTAGCCTTGCAGAACAGTAAGCACTCCATGGAAAAAGAACTTGAGATAAGAAGTTCACAAAGGCTGGCTCTAACAAAGGGGCGCAACCTCAGTCCCGGCCGTGACCAGCTTCCTCTGGGTAGGACGGTGACTGCGCCTGCTCTCTTAGGACCTAAATATTACAGCTTATGGATGGCCAAGTATTTAGTCTGTGTTGATAGCATTGACTTAATGGGAAATTTTGATTACAAATCATATATGAAATAATCTCTCTTGAAATATATGGTGCCTCTGGCAACTTCTTCATTTGTTGCTCATGAGCTAGCTGTGAAAGTGTAATATAATATAACTCCGGGGTCAGCTCTAGCCACTCCATTTAGTAGATGCTGGACCTCAGGGTGAAATTTAACTTGTGTGAGACACAGCTTCTTCATCCAGATAATAGGGATATTGACTGGATGTCTCACCTACTTCACAGGTTCAAATGGGATAATGCATGTAAGGGACTTTTTGCTACATAAATGTCATAGTTGGTTTGGTGTTTCTGCAAACCATACTAGTGAGCAGTTGATACAAAATGAAAAGGCCTGGCCAGAGCCTGGGGCTGCAGGTCTGAGATACAAGCTACTTGAGAGGCTGAGACAGGAGTGTCAAAGCTCACATTAGCCTGGCTACAGGGCTGGTTCAAGGCTAGCCTGGACAACTTTGGTAGAGTCTATCTCAAGACTGCAAAGGTTAAGGATATAGCTCAGTGGTGGCGTACCTGCCTGGTGTGGATGAGGCTCTAGGTTCTATCCCCAGTGCCACAAAATGGAAGAGCAAGAGGCCAGACAAAGAAAGGCTCTGGGTGGACGAGAGTGTTACAGTAAGTGCTTTGGCACCTGCCATTACTGAAGCCCTTGAACTGCCCACTCTCTACTGGAGATCAGGATTTGTAAATTGCACCTGTGCTTGTAGGCTTGTAAATGTAAATATGTGGTTGCTACCTACATCAGAGGCTGCTGACATACTGCTGTAGTATTTACCAAGCCTTGAAAAAATAAGCAACACTACTTCCTAATTCCAATGTCATTTCAATACACCTTTATTGTGTTCTAAATGCAACTAAACATTCAAAAAATCCCACACACATTAATAAGAGTTGCTCAGCAATTTTTATACTGATCAAGACTAAACATGAACCTACTGAGAGCCATTTCCAGAGACATATAGACAGGAGACAGAGTGACTGCCAGACTCAAGTGCATACACATTTAATTTTGACCAAGAAATTTCACTTCTAGAGTTCTACTTTGAAAATATAGGTTGAGTAATATTATAGTATGTGTGAGTTTACTTATTGGAGCATTGATTGTAAGTAAAAACCAGGAAAGAGCCTAAATGCTCGCTCACAGGAAGGTGAGTGAATAAGCCATGGTATCCCTCCCCTTCGTCAGTGACTGACTCTGACGAAGAGGAGAAAATGAGCGGAGGCTAAGGCACACTGGCTTCCTGAAGAGGAAGTAGAAAGAGAAAAGTAAAGCAATGTGTATGTGTACTACCACGTTCCACATACTAGAAAAGGAAATACAATACCACGGATCTGCTTCTCTGTGTAAGTGCAGTAAGGGCTGGTAGAAGAGGAAAGGGGAACCTGAGATGTAGGGGTCTGAGGCAGGAAGGCCACTGCTTACAACTCCTGTTTTTGAAGTTTTGATTTTCTCAACTATCGTCGTGCTTTACATCATTTCCAAAACAAAAATCAATATGGTGAACTCAAAGAGGCGCACAATCACAGATGAATCCGATTGAACTGAAAACAAAACGCATAACCCAGGTGAACTACACAGCTACAGTAAGTGGGATCGGAGTTAAGAAATTAAGACCATGAGCTAGCAATTCAGGAACTGGTGCTTGTGTGAGCTAGGGGAGTAAATTCTGACAGGCAGTCTTTTCACTGTTAAAGTAATAAGTTACAAATACGGAGGCTTTTGTAAGGACCCTCCTTGTACTGAACT